TTTTTTTTCAGCCTTAAGTTGACACTTGAAGAACCATGAAAAAGGAACATAATCAGTCAGAAGATGAAACAGTAGGAGTCTCCTAAAACTGCTTTTAATATTCGTGTAACAAGACGTGCAACAGCAGTCGTGCTGGATGAAGTTCAACACTTTCAAATGTCTTTTCTACACTAAGCCAGAATCAAGTGTCACACATTACACTGAATGCTAGAAGGACGCAACATGATGTTGCATAGCAACAGGGGATATTTTTTTTCTTTGAGGAGAGCCAAAGCAAATTTATCAGAACAAATACAAAGCTTGTGGCTCTGCTTATGACTAAAGAATTTCTGCACTGAATAATGTATAAAAAGCACTTTTTCAATACAGTGAGATAAAGACAAGACTGCAGGGAGTGCTGGTGCTGGTGGTTTGATCACAACAATGTCAAAGTAAAACTGTACTGTAAAGTCTGGGGCTTAAGACTCATTTTGTTCTGTCCATACAGTCTCCCGTGTCTCCTATAGAGATGAGTGATATAATGCATTGTGAAAGCCTTACATGTAATGGCAGATATTTCTCTCTCTTGCTCTTGTTCCAATCATTCCTACACTCAGCCTTGTATAACGTTGGCAGATTATTTTTTAATGCATTTATTTCCATTAAAATCCTAAAATACAACAGGTAAAAAATAAAAAGAAAATAATCCAACAATATGAAAATCTGATGAGGAAAATTCGTGTGCAGATTGAAAACCGTGTAGCTTCACTGTTTGCTTTGTTTTAATTACTTAAAGGGACTTCGGCTGATCTGCAGCTAAATGAGCGGCTCTCGTCTTTTCTACCCATTTTTGTCTTCACTCTCTATTAGCAACAGCCAAATTCTAAGTTTTGCTTTCCATGAGGAAAATGAAAGGTTTTGCCTTCCAGTAGCAGGAAATATAGTAAAGTTTCTGTACCTGGGAACATAAAAAAGTGAGTGAAATGACATTAAAATTACCTAATCCTTAAAGCCTCTACTAAAAAATGTGTTCATGATAATATATCAGTGGTGATGAATGTAAAAATAAAGTGTGAAAGAGGTTGCTCACTGTGATGTACTTACAGAGAATCATAACCCAAATCTGAGCTCCGCTCAGCCTTATGGAGTTTTATGGCAGGTTGCAGCTCATTGTTTCGCTGTCCGGCCTTCAACTTTACTGTTATGGTTCAGCTGCACCATTCTCATTGTGTTGTCCTCGGGTGCAGCAGGCAGCTGCTTTCAGCTCTAAAATCTCAATACAGACTACCTGCTCAGCACCAAGTGGCAAGAGACACCATTAACAACTGCATGGTGAACACGGGGGAGTATTTGGCTGATAAATTTGCAAACAAATTCACAATATCAACAAAAAGCCAATGCTGGATATTACTTTTTATTGTTGGCATTTTAGCTGCTTCAGTGTTTACCCAGTATCATGGCTGAAAATATGAAACAATTGCTGAGCTGTACAGCTGAAAATACACAAAATTAGCTCTATGCACTATCTATGTACAAATATCAAAAACAGGATGTTTGGTGTGATAATGAAATTCATATATTTCAGTTTAAAAAAATGACTGTTGGTAAAAATTTAGTACAGTTAGAGACAAAGATAATTTAGTGTATGAAATACCACAGAATGGTCATATTTAGCAGCTGTTGCTACAAGCTTACAGTGATATGACATTGAAAATAGAACTGACAACAGCTCATTTTCCAACAAACCCTCAGGCAGCAGCACCGTCAAAGACTAAATGAGTTTCATCAAAAAGCGAAGAGAGCACTGTTTGAAGTTGCAGTCACATAACTGGGCCAAAGCAGCAACTATCAAGTAAATATGTACAGACCTAATAATGAGGCTTTGTTATGCAGCGTGACCGTGGACAATAGCTTAAATAGAACAAATGGACACAGTTTAAATGTGATATTTGTGCTCATTCTTCAACTGCAATACTATGCAGGCAATGTATAAATTAGGAATAATGCCACAAAAATATGTTATTTTTATCTTGCAGTTGTCCGTTTTGCAACCTGTTATTAACTAACAGATCCAGGTTTAGCTTTGATTATTTCATAATGACAACTAGTTGGTAGATTTCACAAATTACTTGGTGGCATTTAAGATTAAATACAGTTTTCTACAAAACTCACCTTTTTGACAAACTAAACTCACATCTCAAAAGACAAAACTTACTTCCATGCCATTTACATTGTTTTATGCCATTTTTCTGCATTAAAGACTCAAATAAGATTACATTTCTTTATTCTATTCTTTGAAATAAATAAATAAATAAATAAAAATCTTTCTTTAAAACCTGTCAAAGATTGTTTGCTGGGTCTTGATTTAGTCCAACAGTACACGGCAACTGTGACAGCCATGATCAAATCCCCACAGAGGCAATTTCTCGCATGCCATGGATCGACAGACCTGACTTTATGTCTTGCATTATTCTGCTGCAAGCACTGTGTTTGTTTGCTATATGATGCAAGGCTAATAAACAAATCCATCTCCTCTGTTGCCTTTCTGGCTCACACGATGATATGCAAATCTAATTAAAATAAATTAATTCTATGCTCTGAGAGCACTGGGAACATTAAAGGCCCTTCACACTCATGGTACTCAAACACAGGTGTTTTCTCTTATATAGCATAATTACACCTCTTCTCTGGACTGTGTGGGTGTGTACAAACTGTGCTTCACTAACATTTGACTCCCCTTCATTTTGTTTCTTGTAATTGTTTGTGCACTGATGTAGGCTTTAAAAACAAAACAAATATTAATAATAATTTAAAAAAAACAGCAGCATATAAAGTTTGGTGACTTCCACAAACTTCCAGCATACTGTAGCTCTAGGAATCTTCAAACAGAATAACTGACAACACTTGTGTGGGTGTGCAGGACTTTTAGAGTCTATCACTGTTTTTCTTTTTTTTCAGGTGTGTAAAGGTCCCCAGTGGTAAAAACAGTATTGGTTCAAAAAAAAAACAAAAAAAAACAACTAAATCAGGAAACAAAATCAGCTAATCGGAAGATGTTGGACATGTGACTTGTTATGTAGGGTGATATTGGATTCAATATTTTTCCCCCTATGGTTGCTGTACAGGCGCTCCAGTAAATGTATTTTGGTGTGAAAATATTTTTTGTGTTGCTGAATGTCAAGGTGACCTGGAAAAATGACGTTCAAAGATCAAGACCATTTATGTTAACCCATATGGCTCAGTATAATTAATTAAATCCCTGTCCATTACTGCCACTGTGTCAAGAGTCCTTCACCCTGAACACCCTTGAACAAGTGGTCGACAACTCATTTGTTTTTATTCTTTTGTATATTTTTAGTTATAATGTTTTGTCTTGCTGAAGAGCATATTATTCTTCTTATACTGACAAGTCTGTGTACTCTGGTTACATTTGTAATACTTGCAAAGCCTCTTTCCACATTCTGTAAAACTGCAGAAAATTTCTCCCTTTCTATTTTCTCACTGAACCAAAGCAATGTTCAGTCCACTAATCTTACTTAGCCTTACTTTCTGTGCTTCCTCCAGTAAATAATCTACTTTTAAGACTTGTACATCTGATTTTTTTTATTTTTTTTTTGCATTTTCTTGTATTATATTCCTGCATAACATGGATTTATTCTACGAAATGGTAGAATTGGGGTAGTGTATAAAACAGATTGTTCCTTTAGATTGCGTCTCTACTTAGAAAGCCATTCTTGAGTGGTTAAGCTCCTGCAGTGAAATTATTGAAAATTGTCTTTGCAGCAAAAAGCTTCATAAAAAAACATTTCATTGTACATGGCATTAAAGTTCTTCTTCTGTAATCTGCTAATACCACGGTGAACTGAGCAACGGAACTGTCTTTTCTGTTTTACCTCAAGTCGGTGACTTAATCATTTGCCCGCTGCATCACTGACAGAGCTAATTATCGGCAGTGTGACTCGGCCACTGACACAGAGACAATCCAGGCTTACTGACCAGCTGAAAACTTTCAGATCCCTTTTGTCTCCATTAAGCGCTAGGAAAAAAAAGATCCAGCAGCGCCAAGCTTTAATGGCTTAAGGCTCCCTGTGAAATCACAACAGGGGAGAACCTCACTCATCACACCATCAACCAGGAAGTACCTGAGAGACGGAAATCACATTCACCTTGTATTCACCTCTCACTGCGCTCATAATTGCAGGAGATAGGTGTGCTCAGGGTCTGGAGTCCATTACCATACACCCATGGACGATGATTAATGACCCGGTGGGAACGAACAGCGAGCGGCTCCTCTCAAACAGCGTCCGTAAGCTCATACGCCACCAAACATCTGAGCATGCACTTCAGATATTTGCAAGACCTTGTCTTGTACTTCAAAAAGTAGAGAAAAGAGTATAAGACTCTGAAGTGTGCAGGTGCTGCTGGTATATGTGCTGGACTGCATGCATGTGCACGCTGCTGCGTTACCAATTGGTTGTGGATGAGGGTGTACAGTGACAATTCTGTGTGCAATCATTATTATGGTGTCACTATGATTAGATTAATTGCCCTGAATGTGACCATCAATAACACTAATGTGTCTATTTCCAAAATCTGATCTGCCTTTTTTAATGACTTCATTACATGACAAACTTATTTATGGTAATCAGTCACAGGTCAGGCTGTAATGATGGTACCAGCAGCACTCTGGGACGACTGCTTTAAATGATTACACTGTCTCCACGTCTAGCACTATGGAGCAAATAATGCTGGATTTCTGTGGGAAGCATCAAAGACCAAAAACTGTGCTGTCGTCAGCAGCTTTTAAAATTCAGTTTAAAGAGCATCTTTACTGAAATGTTAAAACCATTTATAACTCCTAGCTGTCTGTGCACTGAATACCAGGAAGAAAAAAAAAGAATTAAAATTAAAAGTTGGCAACACACAACAGTTTCTTTTCCTCTGTAAACAACAGGGATCTGTGTGCTGTAGGCAGGCCCCCAGTGAACGAACAGCATGGAGTATCTTCAACAGCGACTCACCGATGGGGCTGGTTTTCCTCCCTTTGCAGTGCAGACAAGAGTGAAATTCTGGGCCTGGTATCGACTGAAAGGGGCTGGAGTGTTCTCTGCCACCACTGATATGTTGTTTGGAGGTGCTGTGGAGGACAGAGGGAAAGCTTTTTAGAAACAATATCCTAATACATCGGATACACACAAAATGCAACCTCAGACATTGGTAGACTATTAGAAAACATCCACTTCCCCTCTCTTAGTGAATTTCATGAGTTATTGGTGATGAAATGTCATCTTCGGGTTATACACGTAGGTGGAAACAGAATTGGCAATAATGACGGCAGAGTTAAGAGCAAAAGAAAGTGACAGCGGTGAAAAATAAATGTTGTTCTGCCTTGATGTTTAAAATAAAATTCACTAAAACAAATCTGGAGGCCCGCTTTATCTCGCTACTGTATCTACTTTCAAAAGAAAGCGAGGACCTGCTGAGAGAATCTCCACTTAAGATGGTAACTGAATGGTTGGAACAATATGTTCAAAAACTCCCCGGGGCTCATGTGAGTCGGATGAGGCTGATAAGGTAGAAAATCTCATACATATCATATCACTAACCCTCCATCGGGATCTCTCTAGGGATCCCAGCAAGTATGTCATGGTAGCGTAAAAGGGGAAACATGTGAGCGGGACTTCAGAGCATTATGGAGGAGCACTGGAAGGGGGTAATGAATGTAAATCTCTCCCATCCTCCAGAAAATCAGCTGTTCAACATGCACCGCTTCGTTCCTTGGATGGTGTCTTAAATATGAATGCGAATACTTCATAGAGCATATTGTGGTGGATTAAAGGGAAGCTAGTTTTATCGGACGACACTGCAGCAGACGATGACCAGCTGCACAAGGACCGGTTGAATTCTGATGAGGACAGTTGAGTGTAAGAGGCACTTCTCACAACATGTGCTGAAGATGTTGTCCATGTATTCTATACATTTAAGTCTTTTCTTCATGCCACTCTTCATGCACCACTGTGCATAGGATTTGATAGACACCTGGCATATTAATTCCCTTCAGGTTCAGGATGCTTATACAAACATTTCAATTGGCCTGAGCTCCAGTCAGAATGAGAAACATTTGTGAAATCTGTGAAGGACTGAGTAAGGTGAAAAAAGAACCCCATCAGATACAATTTTCTGAATGCACAAGTCACCTTTTAAGGCCCATAAGGCAACAAGAAAGGTCATGCAGGGAGCAGGGCCTTTTTTCATGTGCCGGTTTTATGTGTAAATCTATCAAGCGGCTTTAAACAGACATGCCACAGCAATTAATTGATTAAAAGCAGGTGGGGGTTGGCGAGAGGGGATTTAGCTGCTGGGCTGGGTGCTTCTGTGTTTCCACACCTCTTAATTGCTTATTGATGGAATTCATATGGTTGTAAATTAACCTTAGAACACTCCATTAGCTTACTGACAAGCCTGTCCCAACCTGGCATATGATAAGCTGTCAGAGGTGTCCGCTCCTGACCGATCATGCTCAAACACTCAAAACAGAGGCAGTGTATGCGAAGTGCATCCAGCGGTGTGAAGCTGCACTGACGTACAGAGCATATACAATAATAAAAAAAACAAACAAACAAACAAAAAAAACAATTCAACTTTATAGATTTAACTTATTGATTGCTCCTTTTCCCCCACAAAACAGCTTTATATTCTATTTTGTAGAGCGCAGTAAATTTATTCCAAACAATATCTGCGCTTTTTTGTTTTTTTTTTGGTCTGTAAAGTGCTTCCACTGCTGTCAAACCGCGCAGTTAAAAATGATGATTCATTCTCGCAATATTAGCAGCCGTAAACACAGAAAAGATCAAGAGAGTTTTGCGGCAATCTATAGAGAGTTTTAACAAGCAAAATGCACACATTGTAATTTAGACAGAGCTAATCTCATCAACACCAATCTTATTAGATTAAAAATAATTACTGTTAAATTGCAAGGTTCCACTTCACTGATAAGTATTGATAATCCCCCCGACAAGTACTTCGCCCAAGCAGTAGTAACAAGATGCTTTGCTTAGTTTCGAATAAAATCACTAATGCAACCTTGTAAATGCTGAGATAAATAATTCCTCACTCCGGTCAGGTTAGTTCAGGAGAGCTGCACATTGATCATGATGCTCTATTGTTTTCTGCCCTGTGGGTGGGGGGCCACCTAATGGGAGTCAAAGCCTAAGACAGCAATAAGCCTTAGTGAAATATTTGACATGATTAATACCAAGACCTACTGGGCACAGCACACTATTTGCAAACACAACAACCCTGTACAGGATTAAAATGGTTGTCTGTGATTATGGAGTCTAAGCCTTTCATACCTCATTTAATTGCAGTTCTCGTTTCGCCCATTTGTTAAAGGTTGAGCTAATTTTTTATTTATTTTTCTTCTCTGTATTTTTTTGGGGGGGAAGATAGAGGTCTTTCTTTCACTGAGATCTGCATTCCATTCATTTGAAAACAAGAGATAAATGATTAAGTTTTTTTTTCCTTGACAAGGTTACTGCAGTTATTACTGATGTGGTGCTCATACAAAGCAGGGAGAGAAAAACATATGAGCTGAAATGCAAAAAAATAACATAAAATAATATATAAAAAAAAGAAGCCACAGTCAAGTTCGCTGAACAATATGTAGTTCTTGGAGGGAAAAAAATCAAAAGAATGAAAAAAAAACTTGCCGGAAAAAAATAAGAAATGTCAATATTTTTGACATTCTTCTGAAGGTTTAGAGACTCAAAAGATTCAAGTACAGATGTAAAAATTCCAAAATCCTTTCAGCACTATCTCCCTCTTTCCTTTACATAATAAAAACTGCACACAGTGTACTGGCAAAAGTATTTCTGCTATGTATGCCTGGAATTCTGATGCCGCATTAGTTTTTTGTTTTTTTTCCCTCAGAACTGATTGAAGTCTTGTTGGCAGTTCATATTTTTTGGTTTAGTTCTTGACAGAGATTTAAAGCATTTCTGATGCTCATTCTACTGGTGCAGGGCTACTGATTAGAAGATTGGAGGTTCAAACCCCAGTGCTGCCTTTGTTGGGCCCTTGAGCAAGGCCCTCAACCTTACCCTGGCTGACCCTGTGCTCTGTACCCAACTGGGATATGCAAAAGAAA